CGGAAAAAGATAAAAAAAAAAAAAAAAAAAAAATCTTAACAACATGCACTGTAAATATTATCATATCATGAATCAAATCTTTATTGTGTAATTGGATACATTTCCTAAGTTAATTTTAATTGCCTCAAGAAACTGCTTAACGCTGTAGATCAATCCTGAGGTCTGAGATGACATTCCCCTCACAAAATTAATTATTAATACCCTGATCATTTACTTAAGACATTAATAGATTTCATTGATCAGCACATCCTGTTTATCTAAAATGGCCTAATCACCATGCATGTCAGAGGAGTATCTGAACATATCCAATTAGAGATGCTGCCTGCTTTCAGCCACATCAGCAGAACAGAAATTAAGGGTCCCTTTTGTCTTCACAACATATTAAGTCTAGCTTTGTCAGAAACTGAGCTATTTAAGAGCACAAAAGACAGGCGAGTTCTCTAATGATGGCTCTTCACTTTCTTTTAGCTTCCTGGTAAACATAGACTTTTCTGTGACCATGTGGTATAAATGAACACTAAGAGCCCTTGATTAACTAGCTTGTGCTAGTTTCCACGTAAGCCTGTGTTTGCTCACAGTGTTTCTCTTACAAGTGGGAGTGAGATGAGAAGCCCCAGGTTATTATCAGCTTAAAAATATTGAGATGCCCACAATGTATACATATCAAAACATCATGTTGTACACCATGAATATATACAATTTTATTTGTCAATTTAAAAAATAATATAAATTAAAAATATATTTTAAAAAAGCAAAAAAAATATTGAGATTACAATAACAATATCTGTCAATGTATGGTGCTATGTAGTTTTCAAAGAGGTTTCATTTACTTCACCAGGAGGTTTCCTTTGAAACAACCTTCAGAGGAAGGCAGGGTGGTGTAGCACACCCAGGAGCACACAACTAGTTACTACCAGAGCTGTAAATAGAACATGAGCATCCTGGTTCCCTAGATTTCTCGCTTATTTGATTAACTGATGTATAGGCAGCATTCTGCTCATCTTTCAAACCGCAGGGGGAGCTTGTCTCCTTTATGAAGACTTGCAGGCCAGAAAGTTTCCTCCTTCCTTGATAATGGCACAACATATAGCAATTATATGAAATTGTGGGTAACTGCCCCACCGGAGTACGAAGCAGAGATGGTAGTATGTTCACCTCGTTTCTTGTAAGCAGAGGGTGCTTCATACATGGCTGGCTGGTAGGATGGGTGAATGAGAGGAAGCAAAGCGAGAGTTCTGTTTCACTAAGGTCATGTTGCAGACCTTCAGCACCAGATGGCAATTTGGCTTCGTTTGAGTCAAACAGTGTTTAAAAATATTTTAAACTGATTTCCAATATTTAAAACTTGAGAGATTTTCAATATACAATATTATTTTCAACTTTTCTTTGAAATTTTTGCATGCTTCTGCAACCCTGGGTCTGTGCCTTGCATGTCAGTCATTTGAGGAGCACCTGCCCCCTTCAACACAACACCTGTGCTCTCTGGAATGCCAGTGTCTGCCTGCCTGTTTCTCTCTGGGTTATCTGCTTTGTAGCTTTTGGTACATAGAACAAGGAGCTTCTTTTTACCACAGAATTTTCCTGTTTTAAGATTCCTATTCTTAATTATGCTCTGGATTTATCCAAATGAACCTAGTAGGCAGCTACTCATAGGTGGTAGGATTTCTCTCAGTGAACCCTGGAACTGCATCTTTCTATTGCATTTTAGAAATGAAACATGGAGCATAGGTGGAAAAAATGTTTGAATTGATGGGGTAGTCACAGTTTCCCCATATATACCTCCATTCTAAAAATTGGGAATTTCAACTTCAGGTCCACCAAAGCTAACCCTATCTATCTTGTTTTGTGGCAGTTTTTCTGTATTTGCTTTGTTGGGTGTAGTGTAGATTGGAAAATAAATAAAGAACAGGGTCTGGACACTAAGTGACAAGGAGGGACCTCATAAAGCACAGACTTTCCCCTGCCTTCAGGTTTGGTCACGCCCAATCAGAAGCTGTTCTTGTCTTCTCAGTAGCCACAGGGACACATCAGCTCGAATCATGCCCAAGTATTTTTTGGAAGAAAAGAATACGAGGCTTATTTGCTTTATATTCATAATTTAACATGCTTCTCTCTTCTCCTTCAGTAGTACTTTTCCACAAGTGAATTTTGTTTATATTCAGGAGAAGTATTTCCAAATCTCAATGTAATGTCTCTCCTTTCCCACAGATTAAAGGTTGTACAAAACTTAAAAGAAGCAACGGTTCTATTCACTTGTTATTGGACTCGAAACTCCTTTGACCTCAGAAACTGAAGATGAGGTTGCCGTGGGAACTGCTGGTACTGCAGTCATTCATGTTGTGCCTTGCAGGTAAAGTATCATTTTAAAACTTTTTTATTTAAAAATGCCACTGTATTTCACACTAATTCAAAAGTGGGCCTTCATTTTTAGATGGCAATGATAAAATTGTAAGAGTACACACTACTATGACTAACATTTGCTGACACTGTTGAATACACCTTCCTGATGGTCTTTTAGTGGCTCTTTTCAGAGTGTTGTATCCAGAGATAGACATTGATATTTCACCTATCTNTACCAGAGCTGTAAATAGAACATGAGCATCCTGGTTCCCTAGATTTCTCGCTTATTTGATTCACTGATGTATAGGCAGCATTCTGCTCATCTTTCAAACCGCAGGGGGAGCTTGTCTCCTTTATGAAGACTTGCAGGCCAGAAAGTTTACTCCTTCCTTGATAATGGCACAACATATAGCAATTATATGAAATTGTGGGTAACTGCCCCACCGGAGTACGAAGCAGAGATGGTAGTATGTTCACCTCGTTTCTTGTAAGCAGAGGGTGCTTCATACATGGCTGGCTGGTAGGATGGGTGAATGAGAGGAAGCAAAGCGAGAGTTCTGTTTCACTAAGGTCATGTTGCAGACCTTCAGCACCAGATGGCAATTTGGCTTCGTTTGAGTCAAGCAGTGTTTAAAAATATTTTAAACTGATTTCCAATATTTAAAACTTGAGAGATTTTCAACTGATGTATAGGCAGCATTCTGCTCATCTTTCAAACCGCAGGGGGAGCTTGTCTCCTTTATGAAGACTTGCAGGCCAGAAAGTTTCCTCCTTCCTTGATAATGGCACAACATATAGCAATTATATGAAATTGTGGGTAACTGCCCCACCGGAGTACGAAGCAGAGATGGTAGTATGTTCACCTCGTTTCTTGTAAGCAGAGGGTGCTTCATACATGGCTGGCTGGTAGGATGGGTGAATGAGAGGAAGCAAAGCGAGAGTTCTGTTTCACTAAGGTCATGTTGCAGACCTTCAGCACCAGATGGCAATTTGGCTTCGTTTGAGTCAAACAGTGTTTAAAAATATTTTAAACTGATTTCCAATATTTAAAACTTGAGAGATTTTCAATATACAATATTATTTTCAACTTTTCTTTGAAATTTTTGCATGCTTCTGCAACCCTGGGTCTGTGCTTTGCATGTCAGTCATTTGAGGAGCACCTGCCCCCTTCAACACAACACCTGTGCTCTCTGGAATGCCAGTGTCTGCCTGCCTGTTTCTCTCTGGGTTATCTGCTTTGTAGCTTTTGGTACATAGAACAAGGAGCTTCTTTTTACCACAGAATTTTCCTGTTTTAAGATTCCTATTCTTAATTATGCTCTGGATTTATCCAAATGAACCTAGTAGGCAGCTACTCATAGGTGGTAGGATTTCTCTCAGTGAACCCTGGAACTGCATCTTTCTATTGCATTTTAGAAATGAAACATGGAGCATAGGTGGAAAAAATGTTTGAATTGATGGGGTAGTCACAGTTTCCCCATATATACCTCCATTCTAAAAATTGGGAATTTCAACTTCAGGTCCACCAAAGCTAACCCTATCTATCTTGTTTTGTGGCAGTTTTTCTGTATTTGCTTTGTTGGGTGTAGTGTAGATTGGAAAATAAATAAAGAACAGGGTCTGGACACTAAGTGACAAGGAGGGACCTCATAAAGCACAGACTTTCCCCTGCCTTCAGGTTTGGTCACGCCCAATCAGAAGCTGTTCTTGTCTTCTCAGTAGCCACAGGGACACATCAGCTCGAATCATGCCCAAGTATTTTTTGGAAGAAAAGAATACGAGGCTTATTTGCTTTATATTCATAATTTAACATGCTTCTCTCTTCTCCTTCAGTAGTACTTTTCCACAAGTGAATTTTGTTTATATTCAGGAGAAGTATTTCCAAATCTCAATGTAATGTCTCTCCTTTCCCACAGATTAAAGGTTGTACAAAACTTAAAAGAAGCAACGGTTCTATTCACTTGTTATTGGACTCGAAACTCCTTTGACCTCAGAAACTGAAGATGAGGTTGCCGTGGGAACTGCTGGTACTGCAGTCATTCATGTTGTGCCTTGCAGGTAAAGTATCATTTTAAAACTTTTTTATTTAAAAATGCCACTGTATTTCACACTAATTCAAAAGTGGGCCTTCATTTTTAGATGGCAATGATAAAATTGTAAGAGTACACACTACTATGACTAACATTTGCTGACACTGTTGAATACACCTTCCTGATGGTCTTTTAGTGGCTCTTTTCAGAGTGTTGTATCCAGAGATAGACATTGATATTTCACCTATCTATCTGGTCTTTTTAGAGTCGTTTGAGCCATTATTTAGTTTGAAAGTTGTTATTTTTGCTCAGCCTGGTACTCAATTGCACAGAGATATTGTGCAATAAAACTGATGATACAGTCTGGAGTATTGCCCACTTTGATGTCAGTGGATGGAAGTTTATTTGGGTAGCCCTTTCAGTGTTTTTGTTGATATCACTACATCTTTGATACTGACTCTCTTTTTATTTCAATCCACCTATAGTTCAGTAGAATCCAGAAGGCAAGAAGGCAGGTGATTTTTACCATATACTAATGGTCAACTACTAAAAAAGGCTTTAAAAAGTTCGAACATGCTATGTATTGCTTTCTCAGTTTTCTGGAAGATGTGAGCCTGGTCGTTGACATACATAATTCAAACGTATTATTTTTGTATTGTAAGTCCAGCCTGCACTGGGAGTTCGTTTCCAGGCTGAGATGGTGCTTATCTTTCCAGGTCTTTTTGGAATGAGTCTAGTTGACCTGCTTTGTTATTCAGAGTGTCAAGTCCAAGAGGGACACCTGGGATATATTTGCATTTTTACAATGTGAAACAAAAATGACGTTTGGATCACCATTACTTTGAATTATGTATTAATTCAATAATACTACTGAGTACCTTGCAGTGATCCAGCCCTATACTGCTATCTGGGAGACATAGCTACTGCTCTCTTAGAGCTCAATTAGCTGAGTTCTGTAGCTACTGACAGCTTGTTAAACAGATTATTTGCACATGTTATAAAATCAAAGGTAGTAATGATAGTATCAACATTTATGGATCGCTTATTCCATGTCAGGTACCGTGCCAAGCACTTGGTGTACTTTGTCTCATTTTATTCCCCCATAACCCATAGGAGATATGTATTTACTACTTCCTTTTACTCTAATCACTATTAACATTAATGTTATTACTGAGGCATCAAGAAGTTGAGAAACTCACCCAAGGTCACAAAACCAGTAAGTGGCAGAGCTAAGTTTCAAACATAAGCAGACTGTAGATTTGACCGTCATCTCTACAGTTTTTTAGCTGTCTTGTTGATTTGACCAGTTCATGGTTGCAAATTTATTCTTGAAATTTTGGTTTTCATTCTTCCTGTGTTTTTCTAAATGTAAACCCTCACTTATAAATCTTTTAGTACTCTACCTTCAAATTCCAAACTTCTTGTCTTAGTTGAGTTCACTACATCCTCGCTATTCCATGATCATGAACATTTTGGTATCTCTTTTAGAGATATTATTTATCTCCTTCATCTGGTCAGAACTTAAATCTTCTCTGCAGCAATATGTCCCAGGCTCTAGTTCCTCAGTTGCTTTTCTCTGGCACCTTCACCCTCCTAAAGGACTCAACTGAGACTCTCTAGTTTTAACTTTCCATAATGACTCTGGTATAAACATATGCTTTAAGTTATAACACAATGCTTCGATTTCTCAGTATTTTGCTATGGCAATGTGTTTATTTAACTCAACGCACTGAGTAGGTTTCAAGAGATTAAAGAGTTGAAAATAAAAGGAAGCCATTAATCTCTTCAATTGTATTTTGAAAAATTTGGAATTTTCACCTAAAGTGTGTACCTGTATCATTTTTATTCACTTAGGTTTTTGTAGGTAATCAGCATATTTATTGTTTTTGTGAGCCTTTTTTGTGAACTGTTTTACATGGCATTAATATTCCCTTGCCGTATACTTCCTTCAGCGTAGGTAGAGTCAAGTTTTAATTAATGTTTTTGTTTTCTTATTTATGTTGATTTCATTAATTTACATAGCACTCAACACTCTGAATTTCGAACAGATTCCTTTAACTTCTTTTACTACCCATTCTTTTCCTTTTGTGTATTATCCATAACTTTTCTATTCTTCCTTACTCTTAGATTTCTCAGTGAATTTTTGGCAAGGAAAGTATTTATGCCTATTATGCTTACCATAATTAGTCAATCTCACATACGCCTTTTCCCGATCTTTCACCACAAATAAGATAGAGGCTTCAAATATATAAGTAGGCTAAGCCTGCAAGGGATACATCCTCCAAGTTTTGATGATTATTTGAGGGCATTGATTAGTTATTTATAGCACAATGGGAATGTGCTCTTTTGCCAAATGCTAGATTCAGTGTTTGGCAATAATTTTCACCTAGAAAGAAAAAAAAAAGATCACCGATGTCAGTAGTGTAAAAATGTAATCACTGCAAAAATCGCTTTACTATTCTCCTTAACCATTTTAAACCTGGGACCATAAAATCCTACCACCTAAAAGAGCAAGGAAGCTAGCAAATGAGTGAAACATTTTTGAAGTAGTAAAAATTTACAATAAAATAGGGAATGCTGCTGACTGTGGAACACTGAAAAAAAACTGTTCTGCTAAGATACCAACCAGTGCCCAGCTCTAATCCTGTGTGCCAGGTCTCTCTGTTTTTTGAGATTTTTGTGCATATTGTATGAATTCTTTAGCACTGCCGTAATGTTAATGAATAAAGTTCAAATTATTTTTGAAAACTAAAAGTCTTGTACAAAGCAAGCCAAATGGTCTGCAGGCTAGATGCAGTTCCTAGTCCACCACTTTGCAAACTTTATTTCACACATTTGGCTTTCCTTTGATATTAGACATGATGTCAACTACACTTAGAATTTAGGGCCTTTGTACTATCTCTTACTTTTGTCCAGAGTGCCCTTTCCTTTAAACATCCCCGTGACTTTCCCTCTAACCTTCTTTAGATCTGTGCTAGATCTCTGACCTAGTTGGTAAGGCTTTTCCTGATCATAGTAAATAAATTAAAATAGCAATATTCCCTTTTAGCAGCATCTTCTACTCTTCTTGCTTAATTTTTCTTCTGAGCTCTTATCCATATCTGACTATTGATATATTTTGTTTGCTTGTTATTATGCAAAATGTCTTTCCCCTTTAGACTGTAAACTTTATTAGGAACAATATTTCTGTCCTTTAGTTCACTACTGTATCCCCAGCATCTGGAAAATGCCTAGCCCATAGCACCATTCAATAAATATGTGTCGAATGAATGAATGCTGCATCCTGGCCAGTCATGAGAGATAGCGAGAGCAGATCTCCCATTTCAAGCTGTACTGTGGACTCAAGGAATTTTGTAGTCACCTTTATGGTAACTCACTGAACTGGCCACCAATGAGGCTAATCCATACAAATCATTTTTAATTAGATTTAAATATCTAAGTTATTAAAATTGGTTTGTTATACCTTGAACTCTATATCAGTTACACTTCGTATAACACCCCCTTGTCCATTTCTAACTTTAAATGCAGCTGGGATATACTGTTCCGTTTCAGTATTTTTCTGCCTGAAGTCTTTCTCTGAAGTCACAACCGTGGGGAACTATGAGATGTTGACCCCATTCTTGGGGGCAGCCCTCAGCCAATGGAGCATGGGAGTCAATAGATAAATGCCTTAGTCTCCTGTCCTTTGGAAAGACAGTTCTCAGTTACATTATACAGTTCCTTAGAGGTCCCCAGCAGGATTGAGCTCACAGCAGCTCCTTCTATTTTTTTTTTTGTTCTTTACTTCAGCTTCCTGGCATCACCTTCCAAATAAACTATCTTTTCTGAAGTCCTTCTCTTGGCCTCCACTTTTGGTGGAATTCAAACCACATACACACATCATTTAAGAGCAGAGAAGCAGCCTAGGATTGGTCATGTCAATAACTAGGAAGAAACCAGACAGGAAACATAGCTTTGACAGATTACTGAAGAGTTGACTGTGTATGTAGATCCATATATATGTATGTATGTATGTGTTACACAAATACATGTACACATACCACTGTATGGTTATGTCTGTAAACATCTGGGTCCTGCAACTAGATAGTTTTACTCTTATTACTATTTCCTAGTTTTATTGTTAACCAGATGTTGAGCAAGTCATTTTGCCACTCTGTGATTCAATTTATACCTCTGTACAATGAAGGGATTGAACAGATGGTCTCGAAAGTCTTTTCAACTCTAAAAATTTACAATTCTATCTTTATACATGGTTTGAGAGGCAGATATGTATGCTGATAGGGTTAGAAATAAGCCTGGAATTTTATTCAACTAATATGAAATTTCACGGAGGTCATATGCCTTACCATGTGTTACTGATTTTGTTCACATTGGCAACATTTGAAAGAAAGAATAAAATGGCTGTCCATATGTTCATGTGCAGCAAGAGGCATGAAGACACTTAAAAACTCTCAGTGAATGACTGCAAAAATGTATGCTTGATGCATTCTCAGTTGATCTTGGTTTCTGGGAGGCTAAATTTATCCCAATCTCTGTGGTGTAGTTTACCAACTTCAGCAATAATCTCTTTTTGAGATAGTGCATCCTCTCCAAATGCAAGCATTTTGTTGATTTGCTTACAAAATCTATGCCATTGTGACAAATGCATCTTGGGGTAAGCAGTGGAGAAAAGGTCCTGTATAATTCATGGGAGACATATTCTAAGATTGGTGAGTATTCAGAAAAAGTGGAGCAAGGAGGAGCCCTGGGGTAAATAGTCAATCACAGGGATGTAGCTTGAATCTGTGACAGAAGCAGATACAAACCAAAAGCCAATACCTCCATTCAGAGCATACAGAAAAAATGTTCAGTAGACTTCAGAAGGTATTTTAGGCTCAAGAAGTATCTTATCACTAAGACTGGAGTAGGCTGTCCATGCTTTTGGCTTATTCTAGGGTCTGAAAACACAAATACAAAATAAGAGTTGCCAGAATTTTTTGATGTTGGTGAGAGACCCCAATGAGCGCAATTTTTCCACTTAAAACATTC